AGAGAGAGAGAGAGAGAGAGAGAGAGAGAGAGAGAGAGAGAGAGAGAGAGAGAGAGAGAGAGAGAATTTAGACCCCTGATGTGTCACTCATACTTTTTATCCTTTTCAGCAGGCGTATTGATGCTGGCCCTACTCGTTACTCTTTGAACAGCTTATGCCACTCTCTCTGACTTTCTGATGCGCATGTAGTAAGTGGTTTATTAAGGGTTGGGCCTTGTCCTGCGTGCATGCACCATCGCTATGCTTGGGGCCTAGTCTAGCAAAACTCTGTGCCCGTCATTTTGGTGCAAGGTAAGTGCTGCCTGACTCTGCCAGCTGGGAATCAAGGCGGTTAATGCTACACCACGGAGGCCCTTTCTATCTTCATTGCCAGTTTTCAATGTACGCCGCGCCGCCCCTTTCTATCTTCTACTTCTTCTCATGGGACAATGAGGCCATCGTTAATCTTGTTCAGGAGTGCCATCTGGTCTTGGAGGTAGAGCTGAAATCGACTTTGGGTATCTGTTTTCATGGTTGAGTGGAAAGATTGGGTCTGATAGTTCCTGTTTAAAAAAAACATGTGTTTTGGTTTTGTCATCTTTGAAAAGATCGAATGCATCCTTTTGTTGCATTAAGATTTTCTCCTTATTTTGGCCTGGCTTTTTTTTTTTTTTTTCCCCTTGTTCTTTTTCTTGCTAATTTGTATGCTCCTGTGTTATTCGTCCTTGAAATTTTTTGAACGTATCGTTGTCGTTTCATTGGTGTTTATTTCTGTTGTTTTATTTTTGAGTTGCTGTTGAAGACCTTGGTTGTTAGGCTTTTGCCAGGGCCGCAGTCGTCAAGCAGCAGCAGCAGCAGCAGCAGCAGGAGGAGGAGGAGGAGGAGGACGAGGAGGACGAGGAGGAGGAGGCCGAGGGGGCTGTGACGGTGGGGAGAGGACGGGAGGAAGGTGAAACTGGCCAGTACTCGCTTCTTGAGTGGATGCCCATGAATTGCAGGTGCGTGGTCCTGTGCCAGATCTGTGCATTCATCCTTGCTGTCATGCCACTAGATCTGTTGATTGCTTTCCTGTTTCTGAAATGCAGCCTGGTGTGATGATGGGTAACAAAGAAGTACTCCTTCCAGCCCAGATGCATTGATAATGACTGGGCGTTCTATTCGCGTAAAGATCGTGGGGCTTAGATGCCTAAAAATTCCATATCCTGTTCCTGAAATGCAGTCTGGTGTGATGATGGATAACAAAGAAGTCCTGGAATCTGGTGGATATTCTTAGGATTGTGTTTCCCAAAGGCACTTTTGGTTGTGTACTTTTCAGCCCAGATGCTGAAAAGTGTTGAAGAACACATCAAGAGTGTAGAATTGCAATGCAGACCACTTTTGGCCGAGGGTCACTTTAGAATTCCTGACTAATTTGAAACTTGAAAAAATGGTGCATTCCTGACAGATTAAGAGTGTAGAATTGCAATGCCGACGACTTCCCTACAAGGCAGTCTACCCATGGTGAATTCTACCCCCTCTGAACACCACGTATACCACCCTTTCTCCCCTACAAGGCATTCTACCCATGGTGAATTCTATCCATGGTGAATTCTATCCATGGTGAATTC